ATTTATAGCAAGCAGCTTTACAGTATTAAACTTGGGGGGGAGAGTGTCAGTGTCACTTTCAGTTAAATTTACAACTTCAGTTTGTACTATAAAGCTGCTTGTCAGTGTGTGCTTGCTTGTTCTGGCGTCTGACCTTGATGAACTGAGCAGAAGAAATGTACCAGAGAAGATTTGCATGTCAAAGGCGGAGCCCCAGAGACACACCTACCTATTACATCATCGTCGCAGACCAATGGGAGTTCGAAGGTGTTTACTAGCCAGTGCAAAGTTTTCTAGAAAGTTCATTTTGGCCTGAAATGCATTCCAAGCAAACTTAGTTTTTGCATGATTATGTTTGAAACGACATCACACCAAAGTAGGTGCAAGAAACCTTGATGAACATTATAAATGGGACTCTGACAGTAAAATGGTTTAAAACTTAGGATGTGACCCCCTTAAAGTCTTTTTTTTTTTTCTGTGGGACATTTAATTTAAAGATGTTTTGAGAAGGGTTGGTTAGCAAATTGTTTAACAGTTGACTTCTATTTTGACAAATAAACAGACATTCCTCATCTCTATTTCATAGAGGATAGAAGGCCATGCAGGTTTGGAATAACATAAGGGTGTGAAAATGATGACAGAATTTTAGGTTTTGGTTGAATTGTCCCTGTAAAGTAAAAAGAAAGCGCTTTACTGTATGTCCAGTAGGGGGCAGCGAGTGTTTGAGCCATTGAAATTTTACAGCTTTAGAAATGTTGCCAGTATTGACAGGTTGCCATAGTGATACATTTACAATCTGCAAAATCCCACTTCCCAAAATAACAGCATGCCATGTAAGCTGTGCCAGTCGATTTGTCTACTAGTGCTGACTTTGGACTCGGAGAGAAAGAACTGGGAATGAAAACACGGTGAGCGGAAAACAATGTCAGGCCCTTTTGCTCTCAGTGTGTGTGCACAGCTTCATGAAGTGTTGGGAAATTTCTGCAGGCTCATTAATCAAAGTTGAGCTTCACAGTTCAGCAGCAGAGCAGAGACATGGCTCTGTCTCAAAGCCTAAGAGAGCTGACCACTGACCACAGGATGTTTGGACATGATCAGTACATTCAATCATCACGCCTGTGTGAGTGAAGAACAAAAATGTTGCCTTTGCAGCTGTTTCTATAAATCATTGAGCATTCATTTTTAGTAATTCACCTGCTTATCTTCAGTTACTCATGTTAACTGTGGAGCAGGGCTCCAGACTGTGACTAAAATACATGAAAAAAACAAAAATGTTACAAACTTTAAAATCTAGTCAGCACTCGACAGTCAGTCAGGAATCATTTGCAAGCTGTAATGTCCAATTCATGAAAAAATGAACCGGTTCTTTTTGAGTCAGTCAAAAGATTCACCAAACTGCCTCAACTGACTGGTGATTAGTGTTTTGTATGCATTAGGTTTGTGAGACTTGAATTGATATTAAAATAAATGAATTATTTATTTATTTTAAATTGGTAGCTATTGTTATTAAATTTTAGTTTAGTATTTTATAATAAATATAGGAAAGGTCAGTGACTCTCTGTCTGTCTCTCTTCCTCCAGTCCTCTTTAGGTTTCTCTTTCCACTGTCACCTGCTTTTTTTCTGCCTGCATACCTGTGTGACAGAGACAGATGAATTGTTAGTTATGTATGAAACCTCTATCAGTCTCAGCTTGTTAAAATGTCTCGAATCTCCCCCTTGTAATGAAGTATCTCTTTAAACAGTCTGATGGTTCTACTTCATCAATGTCTCTACTTTGATTAGCTTGTTAACTCTATAAAGTAATGTGCTGTAAGTGAAGTAATTCGTTTGTCATTAAAAATCTAATTTTAGTACCAGTTCGATTATTATTAATGGCGTGATTTGCATGGAGTGTTTGCACAGCAGTGGTTTTAGCATTTTCTGAAGAACGTTTGAGTGCTTGCCCATTGAAATTGGCCATTCACGTGATTCGTGCAAATCTGAGGAGTGAATGTACTGTATATCTGAAGGGAATGCAGTTTTGATGACTGATGATTTTCTTTTTTATCTTACTGCCATACGATGCCTAATATTAGTGTTTATGAGCGCAGCTCTGCTTTGTGTGCATTATTTGTATTGTTTGTATATATTACTATTTCTGCTTGTCCATAAGCGCCACCTACTGTCAAAGAGTGAATTTGCTTTATTATTAATCCCGTCTGCAGTTTTTGTTTAGACCAATTATGTATAACATGCATAATCATTTATTAGGCTGAAATTTGTGGTTTATCATTTTATACAACTTTTTCATTTATTATTTGAACTCTAAAGTAGTTTGAATCGTAGTCTTTACAGGTTAGGATGTTACCATAGACGCTGGCGTTGTTTCAAAGCAGTGTTGCTTTTCTATTGTAAACATGCTCAAGATAGACATCTTTGACAGTTGTGCACACAAGCCTTGTGTTTTTTGCAGCATCTTGTGCCTCAGCACTGCAACTTGCAACTTGTAGAATGTGTAAAATGTCAAATACACTACGAAAAGGTTTTGAACAATAAGATTTTTCATGTTTTTAAAGAAGTCTCTTCTGCTCACCAAGCATGCATTCATTTGATCCAAAGTACACCAAATTTTGTAACATTTTTACTATTTAAAATAACTGTTTTCTATTTATATTTTAAAATGTAATCTATTCCTGTGATTTCAAAGCTGAATTTTTAGCATCATTACTCAAGTCACATGCTCCTTTATTATCCTAAATTATTGTATTCTGATTTTCTGTTTATGTTGTAAACAGCAGAGTAGATTTTTTTTCAGGTTTCTTTGATGAATATAAAGTTCATAAGAACAGTATTTATCTGAAATAGAAATCTTTTGTAACATTATAAATGTCGTTGTCATCACTTTTGATGAATTCAAAGCATCCTTGCTAAATAAAAGTATTAATTTCAATTATATATATATATATATATGGCAGGTTTGGACAGCTTTTTTCCCTTAATAAAATAAATAATCATTTTAAAAACTGCATTTTGTATTTACTTGCATTATCTTTGTGTAATATTAAAATTTGTTTGTTGATCTGAATCTTTCAAGTGTGACAAATATGCAAAAAAATTTAAAAACAGGAAGGGGGCCAACACTTTTTCACACCACTGTATATTAGGGCTGTCAACGTTAACGTGTTAATGCATGCAATTAACTTTACAATCCTTTACTCGTTAAAATTATTTAATGCAGTTAATGCAAATTTACTGTTGCTTCTCTGCTTGCGATTAGATAATTTTAAGCCGCTAAACTCCGGGAAAGTTTTCAGTCCAATGATCCAGTAAGCGAATGCATTCAAACAATCCATCCAAAACAGCGCTAATATAAAGGAAACCAGGCTGATTACATCAGAGATTGCAGAGAGAACAGAGACTCGCATTGCGTTTTCAGTGAATTATTCATTCCAGTGTGTTTCGCTTTTAAACACGAGCTCTGTCATATTCTGTGATTGTCTCTGAAGAGCACGAGCCCTCACACGTCACACACTTGTGTGAAGTACAGACTGAACGGGTTGTCAAGAATCCCACCGCTGTATGGCCAGATGAGACGCAAACTACGTTTTCTCGACTGGCTAACCAGTCTCGCTAGTAAAGTTTTGATGGATGAATACGGCAGTCAAGGTAAAGACCAGATGGTTGCGGTGGCGTACAGGAGTCGTACAGTAAGCACGCGTGAGTCCGTTATATTAATGCGTGCATGAGTGCTCTTGACACACTGATCACACATTGTATTTATGCACAGACATTTCCGTACATTCAAGTTTTCCACACACATGCACGATAATGTATTGATTTGTCATGTTTATGTTGCTGCGTTTAGTAATTCTGAATGTATCCGTGTACTGTAGTAGATATATGCAGTCAGCAGGCGATTGGTTTAGTTTTATTTTTTTGGTATCACCATGTGGTCCTGTTCGGTTATGCAACTTGGCTTCTCTAAAATGTTAAAAAGCTATTTGCTGTTGCACTGTACACATACTATACAATTCAGATTTTTTTTTCTTTTATATGTGTAGTGCTGTCGCGGTGAGGTAATTTTGAGTGGCTCAATAGCGCGGTTTTATTGCCATACATATACATTTATACATTATATATAATTTGTGTGTGTATGTGTTGCGATATAACTAACAAGGTCATATTCAGAAGACAATGAAACGGAAACTAAATAGCGTTGAAACAGGAAGTGAACAGAAGCGAATGACAAAATAACAGTCCACATAACAGAACATGAACCTGACAATAAGATCGTTAGGCTGTCGTTAGCCTATATGTATAACAGTTAGCCTAGTTGTAATCTGATTTTCTAATCTGACTGGACAAGAGACTTTCTATTGATTATTTCCTCTGTGTTCTAGACGGATTGTCAGTCAGTGCAGTTAGTGTTGCCCCACAAGGTGGTGGAAAGGGACTGTCATTCAACTACACGTTCAAAAACGCTGATTCATTAATTCAAAGAAACATAATGAAACGCTGTTGAAATAATTTGAAAACAAAAGGATGTGATTAATCAGATTATAGATGTAATCGATTGACAGCCCGTATGTATTAAAATGTATTCAAATAGAAAGCAGTTAATATGTTACTGTACTTTGGATCAAATAAATGCAGGCTTGTGGTGCTTTTCCACTGCGTGGTACGGTTCGGCTCGGTTCGCGTTTCCACTGCAGTTTAGTATCATTTAGAGTGGGCTTTATTCACATATAGTTATATATTATAGTTGCGCCGCCTCTACTGCCGCGACTCCTGAAAAACTTTCATTCCGCGTCGCCCCATCAAACTCTCGCTGGATCTGCTCCTCTGCTATCAATGAGAGGAATGTCTGTACTTCCTCAACAGACAACGAAACAACCACTTTTTGGTTGTTAAAAAAAGGTACGCTCATTCAAAAAAGTTGCGTTCGATCCTTCGCTGGCTGTGCTGGTTTAAAATCTAGCGGTTCTGGAAAAGAAATCTCACTTAAAAATAAAAAAATATTACAAAGAAAAACCAAAATGTATTATTATCTTTTAGTACCATTTACAATTTTTATGATCTTTTATAAGCACACTTGTAATATTTTCCCATTACTATTTTTTTAGGGGGTAGAAAAAAAGTGAAACTGTTTTGGTCAAATATTAATATTGGAACATTTTTCATTAGCCAAATCAAAGTCATGTGGTGCAACCAACATGCAGAGTAAAAAAGCTAAAATGGTAAATTATATAATGCAACTTTTTATAACCGGTTAGTTCAGATTGCGAAAAATTGTTAACTCCGTTATATTTGTGAAAAAAGGGTTGTTATTTAGAGACATTGTTCAAATAAAAAAAAAAATAGGAGCATTGTGATGCTTGCTACTTTTTGTTTAATCATTAAACAACTCATGTCTGTCTGTATACTTCCTTTTTTCCGATATCTACATGTCACCACAGCTCTGGAGAATGTGTCAAAGTCGGTGCGTTTGTGGAAGATAGCTGTTGAGCTGGAGGAGCCAGAGGATGCAAGGATCATGTTGAGTAGAGCAGTCGAGTGCTGTCCTACCAGTGTTGAGGTACACAAACAAACACACACACACAAACGGTCTTAATCAGCCAGAACCCATAAACCTCTTTATGGCCCATAAATCTGACTGCTCTAACAGTGTTGTCCTTGTCTTCCGTAGCTCTGGCTGGCTCTGGCCCGATTAGAAACCTATGAGAATGCCCGTCGTGTTCTGAACAAGGCCCGTGAAAACATTCCCACTGACCGCCATATCTGGATCACAGCTGCCAAGCTGGAGGAGGCCAACGGCAACACACAGATGGTGGAGAAGATCATCGACAGAGCCATCACCTCCCTCAGGGCCAACGGCGTGGAGATCAACCGTGAACAATGGGTTCAGGTCTGTATTTCATGTTTAAGAGCTCAGATAGCTCAGTGACATGCTTTACTAAATACCTGTTTTTAAATGGTTTAAAAAATTTTTTTGTGTTATTAGCAGAGGACTTTTGGTTCAAAAAATGCATATATGCAAAGACAGTTTCCAATTTGGACAGGATTAGGTTTCTCAGTTAAGTTGCATTGACAAATATATGAGAGCCAATATTGTATCAGGAAGTGTTCATTCAAACCTGATGTTTGTCTCAGGATGCAGAGGAGTGTGATAAGGCTGGCAGCGTGGCCACATGTCAGGCTGTGATCAGAGCTGTGATTGGGATTGGCATTGAAGAGGAGGACTGCAAACACACATGGATGGAGGACGCAGACAGTGTAAACATCCTCTCACCTTTATGCGCCCACATTCTGTTTTCATTCAGCACCACATGTTTGTTTATTACAGACATTTCTAATCATTTATCTATGATAATAACAATTTATATCAGAAGATTTAAAGGGATAGTTCACCCAAAAATAAAAATGCATTAATGACTTTCTTCTGTTAAACACAAAAGATCTTTTGAAGAATGGTGACCAGACAGTTGCCATTTTTCCCCCCATACTATGGAAGTCAATGGCTACCAGCAACTGCTTGTTTCTCAACATTCTTCAAAATATAATCTTGTGTGTTCAGCGGAAGAAAGAAACTCACACAGGTTTGGAACAACATAAGGATGAGTAAATGAGGACAATTTTCATTTTTGGGTGAACTGTCCCTTTAATGTCTTTTATCTTTTTCCATTAGTTTGGCTGTTTTACAAGTAAAACTACATAAATTTTTCCATAGGGATTTTTAGCAATAACTTCTAAGCCTATAAAGACAGATATACGTATTGTGAGCGATGTGGGTATAAATCATTGGTTTTCATTGAAGCTGTTCGTTTAGATTTTCAAATTATTTCTTAAAAAATCACATCTAACATGAATTTGTGGTAAAAAAATTACATTACCCATGATTCTGTACAGAAGAATTCCACTAATCAGAAAGTCGAGATTAGCAAATCTCCCAAAAAAACTCTGCAGTGAACCCCCTCTTCTATATATATGCGTATTTGCAATAAACTTAAAATATATTGTTTCTATAAATATAATCAACAACTTTAAATTAATAGTTTTTTTTATTTGATTATGGCTCTTGAAATGGTTCATGCGACTGTAGTTTTTGACCTCATTAAAGCCGTTAAGTACATAGTCTTGTACCTTTGTCTTTTTGTTTGATTTTCAAATACTTTCAAAAAGTAGACGAGCACTAATGCACACTGTTACTGTGATATCTGATGCTGATTGGTTGTGTTTTGTTGTAGTGTGTGGCTCATGGAGCTCTGGAGTGTGCGCGGGCCATCTACGCTCATGCGCTCCAGGTCTTCCCCAGCAAGAAGAGCGTCTGGCTGAGGGCTGCTTACTTTGAGAAGAACCACGGTACACGGTGAGAAATACTCACTGGCTCTCTAGACACAGCTGAACAGAATTTAAGTCCACATTTATTGGCTGGAGGCAGAAAGGCAAGGAGGCCTATTTGAGCTTGCTCATTTAAATTTGTTCTAGATCATTACACTTGCCGTTATTGAAGCCTTTCTGAAACCAGTTTTTTAGAGGCGCCTTCATATATTTAGACACTGTTATCTAATCCTTTGATTATATTCCACAGCTATTGACATTATTTTAATATCTCTCTCTCTCTCTCTCTCTCAGAGAGTCGTTGGAGGCTCTGTTACAGAGGGCCGTGGCTCATTGTCCTAAGGCTGAGGTGTTATGGCTAATGGGTGCTAAATCGAAATGGTTAGCGGGCGATGTTCCTGCAGCCAGAAGTATCCTGGCTTTGGCTTTCCAGGTGAGTGTCGCTCCCCGTCAACTCTTCAAGGCCCGTGACTGCATTATTAGTGGCAAGCATCATTATTGATAACACCATAGCATTGTAATGGTGAAGCAGCAGCACAAGATATATTTCTTTGTACTGGATATTTACAAAAGTAATTCACAAAAGGCCTGTGAAGCATAGAGGTGAATAGTGGTAGGCTTCATACTTAATTCACTCTCTTTTATTTATTTAAATGCACTTTTAATAGACTGTTAATCAATATATTACGGTTCAAAAGTTTAGGGTTGGTAAATATCTGTAAATGTTTTAAAAGAAGTCTCTTATGCTCATCAAGGCTGCGTTTATTTAATAAAAAATATTGTAAATGCAGTAACATTTTTAACATTTTTATCAGACCAATATCGGAATCGGCCGATAATGGCTTTAAAAGTAAATATCTGCATCGGCCCGATATGAAAAATTATGCCGATATGTCTTGCCGATTAGAGGAATCATTTTTTTTATATGTAGGGGGCGCTGTTGGCCTACTTCTAATAAAATGAATGCAAAATACACAAATAATATTTAGACTGTTTCTGATTAAAGAAAGCAGTAGTTGATGCCATAAAATCATGTGTGTGTTTTGAGTTAAAGGTCAGAAGCTATAGCTTACATGAAAAAAAAAAATCACAAACATGACACTTAAATTAAATAATTTTATATATACTGATTTATTCATTAATGTGTAATATGTTATATTTTTAAACAAATTATGAGCTCTAAAAGATCTTTTACTTTAGACCATTAAACATTTTTAAATCTTAAAATAAAATGTTACGGTTACTACTGCATCTTTCTGGGGAAAAAAAATGCAGCGATTCAGTATAGTTTATTTATAGTTATTTTCAAATCTTCAATGTACTGTCATTTATAAAATAACTTAATTATTGTTTATTTAATTCTAACAAATAAGTTATTTTTAAAAACTAAGCAAAAGTAAAAATAATTTGCTTATAGTTTCCGCACAGGAGAGACTTAGTGGTGTTTCCAAACAAAATAAATATATCGGCTATCGGCCAAAATGAGTTGAAAAATATCGGCATATCGGCAAAAATCCAATATCGTGCATCCCTACTATTTTAGTATCATTTAAGATGTAATTTTTTCTGTGATGCAAAGCTGAATTTTGACCATCGTTACTCCAGTCTTCAGCGTCAAATATGCTGATTTGCTGCTCTAGAAACATTTCAGATTATCGTGTATTTTTGTGGAAACCATGCATATATTCACATTTATTTGATGCATAGAATGTTCAAAAGAACAGCATTTATTTGAAATGTAGATTTTTTTTGTGATAGTATAAAAGTCATTACTGTCTCTTTTGAAAAATGTAATGCATCATTACCGAATATTCATTTAAAATATATGTACATGTAGATAAATAGATACGGTTCAAATTCATTTTGATTCCCTCACAATTAGGTGTGAAAAAACAACAAAAACTGTTGATTCGGTGTTGGCCTAGTCATAACATTGACATAACTGAAAGAACACCAAACATGCAAGAATTGTATGCAAAACGTCAAATTAAAGAAGCAGAACTCTAAACTGCATATCAGTGCTTGTTTCCTGAAACTAATCAGCTTTTACTGTATCTAAATATTCACTGGGACGATGGCCAGTAAAAACTCATCCCGCCTCTTTCTCTTTGTGTTAGGCTAACCCCAACAGCGAGGAGATCTGGCTGGCTGCCGTGAAGCTGGAATCGGAGAATAACGAGTACGAGAGAGCCCGCAGGCTGTTAGCCAAGGCCCGCAGCAGCGCCCCCACCGCCAGGGTGAGCGGCCCCTTGAGTGTCAAATAGATGTAACCGCTGCTGTGTCATGCTGGGGACACCCGTCTGCCGGGAACACATCGTTTCGGTTCTGCATGTTAGGATTTCTCTTGTTTTGATTGCCAGAGATAAGTGATGAGATCAGTAGATGAGGGGTGAGTCACCCTGTAGAAGTGCTTGTGCAACAGGGTGTTGAATGTGACACTAGCGGGAAGACGATTTACAAAGGCATGGCTAGTGAAATTCCTTTGCCCGTTTTGCTTGTATGCATATCAGGTTTGTGCATGAAAACTAGGCTATGCAAGATGAGGTTAAGTTCAAGGTTGAACTAATAATAGTAATAATATTTCATCTAAAAAGTGGCCCACTGACGAATTGGACCACATTAGGCGCCATGTCATATTGAGGGTTAAGTTGTGTCATCACTGAATGTGACTCGTTTTCATTTCAGTTAAACAAATTAGAAAAAAAAAAAATTGCTTAAACACACTCAGGTTGCTTTGCAAAACATAATTATATTAAACCATCAAGGAAGAAGTTTTAATATTCAGAAACGTTTTTCAGCTTAAACCATTGACTCCGTTTACCCCTGACACACTTTTCCAGTTTTCTACTGTTTTAATAAGATGCTTCATTTAGTCATTCATTAGGTAATTATAGTATAATTAAGATACTGTTACATTTTCTAAATATATTTTTAATAGTGCATAATTTCATAATTAAAAATGTATTAAAATAATTATAAAATGCATAATTTAATACTTTTTTGAAAATATAAATTTAAATTCTCTCTTTTCTTTCTCTTTCTTTCTTTCTTTCTTTCTTTCTTTCTTTCTTTATATAGCACTATATAAATACAACTAAGTTGCCCAAAGTGCTTTACAAGGTACACATAAAAAATAACACATCAACATGAAGTAAATGGCGTTTAAAAATAAAATAAATAATAATAATACAGTCCTAAAGCAACACCCATTTTAAAATGCCATAGAGAATAAATTAATTTTTAATTTGGATCTAATAATAGCCAGAGTCGGTGCCATTCTGATAGCTTGTGGCAGCTTATTCCACAGATTTGGACCTCTCACCGCAAACGCACGATCACCCTTGAGCCTAGATCTAGTTCTGGGCACTGTTAAGAGTGCCAGATCACTGGATCTAAGTGATCTAGAGGGAACAAGTCTTATTTACAGATAGCCAATTCAACGAAACAAGGATGGGAGTGATATGTTCATATTTTGGTGTCCGGGTCAGGAGTCTAGCAGCAGCATTCTGGACTAGTTGCAGCCGATCTATGACTTATTAATACCGCAGTAAAGCGAGTTGCAATAGTCTAGGCAGGAAAATATCAGCGCATGAATGATTTTGAGTATCTGAAAAATGTAAAAACGGCTTAACTTTTGCGATTTGACGTAGATAAAAGAAGCAAGACCGAACCACAGAACAAATTTGTTTATCCATTTTAAGCTCATTGTCAATTTGGATGCCCAGATTTTTGACACTATCTCATGTTTGGTTCAAACTTTTTTTTAGTTCGGTTTTAAGGTCTGACGTAGCAGATACTGACCCAAATAGAATGATTTCCGTCTTAGATTCATTAAGATGGAGAAAATTTGAGGACATCCACTTCGTGAGATCTTTAAGACAGGATGTCAGGGTTTCTAAAGCCTTTGCATTTCCTTTTTTAATTGGCATGTATATTTGTGTCGTCAGCGTAGCAATGAAACGCTATCCCATGTTTCGCAAGAATATTGCATAAAGGTATCATATATAAAGAGAACAAAGTTGGAGCTAAAATGGATCCCTGCGGAACTCCGCAAGCAAGATGCGCCGTGAAAGAAGAGAAATGATCAATGTTAACTGAAAAAGAACGGTTAGTCAAATAAGATATTAACCTTTTTAGAATGTTTCCCTGCAGACCGATACAGTGCTCTAAATGGGAAATAAGAATAGAGGGATTAATAGTATCAAACGCTGCTGATAGACCGAGAAGTATGAGAACCACAGAGTCGACTGATAGATGGATGTCATTTAATACTTTAAGAAGAGCTGTTTCGGTGCTGTGCTGGATTCTAAAGCCTGACTGAAATGTACTGAGAATAGAGTTACTACTCATGAAGTCATGTAATTGTATAGAGACCACTTTTTCTAAATTTTTTGCCATAAAAGGCACATTTGAAATAGGTCTAAAATTAGACCGTCAAGCTGGATCTACATCTCAATAAATTAGAATGTCGTGGAAAAGTTCAGTTTCAGATGAGCTGAAGGCCACTGTCAAAGAAACCTGGGCTTCCATACCACCTCAGCAGTGCCACAAACTGATCACCTCCATGCCACGCCGAATTGAGGCAGTAATTAAAGCAAAAGGAGCCCCTACCAAGTATTGAGTACATGTACAGTAAATGAACATACTTTCCAGAAGGCCAACAATTCACTAGAATTGAAAAAAAAAAATAAAAAAATTAAGTATTCTAATTTGTTGAGATAGTGAATTGGTGGGTTTTTGTTAAATGTGAGCCAAAATCATCACAATTAAAAGAACCAAAGACTTAAACTACTTCAGTCTGTGTCCATTGAATTTATTTAATACACGAGTTTCACAATTTGAGTTGAATTACTGAAATAAATGAACTTTTCCACGACATTCTAATTTATTGAGATGCACCTGTAAATTCCCTTTTTTTAGTTGGGGTCTGACTGTTGCATGTTTTAACTGATCTGGTACAGTTCCAGTGCTAAGACATTTATTTATAAGAGACAGCAAACTAGGTCCAAGCGTCTTTACAATCTGTTTAAAAAAATGTGGAGGAATCGTATCATGCGGGGAAGCAGAAGGCTTTAAGTGATCTATGGTTTCGTAAAGTGAGGAAAGGGTAATAGGCTCAAACTCACTCCAGGTAGCTCGACAAATATGAGGTTCGATAAAAGTGCAAGCCGAAGGTGAAGTAGTCCTTGATAAGTTAGCTATTTTAGTAACAAAGTTACCAAGGAATTTTTCACACAGGTCTGATGATATCTCTGTTAAGGTCTGATTAGGGGGGTTAAGAACATCATTGATAGTAGCAAAAAGGACAACAGGTTTATGCTGGCTTTTGGCAATAACATTCGAAAAATAGTTATGCCTAGCTACTCTTACAGCTTTCTATGGAAGCCTGTTTCCGCCACTGAATAAAAAATAAGAGGTTATTGTGACTTTATCTCACAAATCTTGACTCCCCCCCCCCCTCAGAATTGCATGATATAAACTCGCAATTGCGAGACATAAAGTCTCCATTCTGAGAAATAAAGTCAGAATTGTGAGATATAAACTCGCAATTCTGAGAACATATCAGTATTTTTCCCCCCCCTCAAAATTGGACTTTAACTCGCAATTGCGAGTTTATATCTCAATTCTGAGAAAAATATAAAGTCAGAATTGCGAGATGAGAACTCGCAATTCTGACTTTTTTTTTTCTCGCAAACCTGACTTTTTTTCTTGCAATTCTGACTCGCAATTACCTTTTTTTTTATTTATTTTTTTTTCAGTGGCGGAAACGTGCTTCCATAGCTTTCTGATAATTAGCCAATGAATCTTTTAAGAGTTCGTAGGAAATCTGAAGCTGATCCTTTTTCCATTTTCTTTCAGCCCTCCTACAGATCTGACGACGAGCGTGAATGTTACCATTATTAATCCATGGATGAGGGTTTGGTTTTATGGGTATAGATATCAGAGGCGCAATCGAGTCCATAACATTTGAACAAATGTTACTAAATATTGTTAAATGTTCTTCAGAGTTGAACGAATGTAAAGGTGAATCAAGTGATGTTGACATGCTCGCTTCCTCAAAAGCTGTAATAAAATTGGCATGGGCCATAGAATCTATCCTACGAAATGTGCGTGATGTTGGCGATGCAATGCAAGTTTCAATAGGGACAGAAACATTAAAAAGAACAGGTTTGTGATCGGAAAAATTAGTGTTATGTACCACAGTATCATTCATAGATAATCCATAACATAAAACCAAATCTAAAATATGGCCATTAGCATGTGTGGGAGCAGTGACTGCTTGTTTAAAATCACAAGAATGCTCGTGACTTAGGAAGTCCTTAGATAGCGGGATTGAGTCACAACACACACAGATATTAAAATCCCAGAGTAGCAATAGCCTTAATGAATAACCAATTCATTTTGTTTTTATATTTTGTTTTCATTTTAATTTTAGAGTTATAGTACTTTAAGTCCATATCATTTTTATTAGTTTTTACTTCAGTTTAAGTTCTTTTAGTACAAGTTAAACTAAATGAGAAATGTTCCCCTTGAAACTTGCTGGAATAGGTTTAAATATTTATTTAATATCACTTAATGTTTGACTTGAAGTAAGAAAAATGTGTTTTAATGTTTTTCAGTTAAATATAACACTCACTGATATTTATATACGTTTAGAAATAATAATAATAATTATATATAATTATACTAATCATATAATTTGCTTTGACATGAAATGCATTCAACCCTCCATGAAAATGTGTATATACATGTTTTTGTAAAAAAGCAATAACTCGTGTATATACTCGAAAGTCGTATATGATTTCTAAATCTGTTAAGGTTATTTTACCCCACACTCCCATAAAGAAACCAAAAGCTGTTTTAGACATTGCATATAAAGTTAAGCAGTGAGATGTGACTAACATGTCCTTAAAAACCCTGATGTTCACTCCGCATCAGAGAATGAACATATCTGCCTGTCAATGAGACAGATGCACCAAAAGCTGATTGTGTCAAATGAGGTCTGTAAGTGGATGGTGACCTCCTTACAGCAGTTGTGCTTGCTCTTTACCCTATAAAGCAGCGTGGGATTTTTGGGAGTAAATGGCTCAGGTGGAAGGTGTTAGAATGGCCTCTTGCCTGGGCTTGTTTAACTCTTGGCTCCAGGAAAGAGTGTCAGCATCTAGACAAATATCACAGGATCGAATGTACCTCAAGCACTTGGCAGGATTCCTTATAAGTGATAATGTTATCAAAGAAAATACACACAATTATGTTTTTCCTGCATCTATGGAAACTAGCCATGTGAGCTTCATACGGGAAATGGATTATGAAAATCTCCCTGGCTGTTTGTTTGCACTTAAGGACTCCTTTATGCATTTTACACGTCCTTAATAATCATGTTCAAGAGGCTTTAAAGGCTGTTAAAAGCTTTAAATGAGTTGTCATAACTGTTTTCTGTGTGCCGCTCGCAGGTGTTTATGAAGTCGGTGAGGCTGGAGTGGGTGCTGGGGAATATTGACGCAGCACAGGAGCTGTGTACGGAGGCCCTGAAGCACTATGAGGATTTCCCCAAGCTTTGGATGATGAGAGGACAGATCGAGGAGCAGTCAGAGAACATCGATAAAGCACGAGAGGCCTACAACCAGGGAGTACGTTTATGGGCTCTAGAGAAGATGCCTTACTATAATTTAAAAATGCAGAACCTAATTCTGTATAATATTAGGAGCAAACATTTTTCAGTGGGACTGCGTGATAATAGTGATATATATATATATACTGTATGTATGTGTATTTATATATACATAATAAATATACACAGTACACATACATATATAATCTAAATAAAAACTTCTATTTTGGATGCGATTAATCGTTTGTCAACTAGTTTTATTATACACTAAATTTAAAAATTTGAAATGTTCTCTCAGCAACTAACTGAAATAAGGACTGAAATTACTCAGACTAACTGCAATTAAATGAAGCTACATTACAAAAGCTAATAAAAATAATAAAAGCATGTAATTAAATTACTAAAAACCTAAACTAAAATTTAAACTGAAAATGTAACATTAAAAGCTAATTCACAATATTAATAAATACAATAATAGTTTGTATGTAACGATATCGCGATAGCAAAACTGTCTCGATATTATCGTGGTCACATGACGATATGAAACGATAGGTCTTCCAGGCAAAAAGTGTAGTTTTTAAAGTATATTTAAACTTCTTATTCTAACATAAAGGGTCTTTGAAGTTGTGTTTTGGGCCATTATGCTTTGGCACAGTATCTATCAGATGAACTAAAACCGAAAGCACAATATGGCTTAATCCCTTCATCAAGTCTGTTTTCACAGCGTGTTTCAAAGTGAAGAACGCACTTCGTTCAGGTGTTTCGTGATTCTGTGTTTTCCGTGCCTCTGTGAATGAATGCAGTGAACTCGTTTATTGCATGTGCTGAGTTTTGCATGCGTTTGTGAACGCAACAGCCACCAGTTAGGCTTTATTTTCACGGCAGATATACAGCATTTCACTAGATTTGTAGTGAGATGCATTTTTGTAAGCGTGTTTTCAATGAAGCTGGAGTTTTCCTTCAAAGTAAAAGCTCTACTGCCGTTTCCGTCAAAATAAAAACCAAAAATAAAAGTGCAGTATAAATTGCTGACAGCTAGCAGTTTAAATGCAGTACACATTCAAAATATCTCTTTCAAGTGTAGAAATTAGGAAAGAAGTATCGTCATTTACCTACTGTAGTGTAAAGCAAAAATAATATACCGTATAAGATACGAAATATTCATTTTCATTTCTTTTATGGTGCAATTGTTTTACAATATATGGCTATTACTGTCATTGTTTTTGTTATTATTAATATTATATTCTAAGTTGTTTGGCTTCTAAAGTGTGAATGTAATTTAGACTGAGACAGTAAATCAACAAATAAAAAGGGTGTTGAGTCCCCTTTAAAGTTCAGGTACAAGTCAATTCATTCACTGACTTTTTTCTGACTTAAGTTTTTAAGTTAAGAAACATGGGTTGGAGCTCTTAATTTTGAACTCTCAAAGTGCATTAGATAGAATAATTTAACTTTTAAAATGTACAAAATTTTTTTTTTTTTTTTTTTATAAATATCGCAATGCATATCATATCGTGAGATTTTGATATCGTTACATCCTTAATAGTATATGAATATTAACATAACACTGGTCAAACGTACTTGTACTTCAGTACAAAGCCTATACTAAAAAGTAGCGAATGGTACTTTTTGAATGTTTATTTACGACAAAATTAATATGCAAGTGGCATAATGATAAATTCTACTATGACAGTGGCTTAGCTAATTAATATTAATTAGGTTGTGCTGACATTGCCACAGTATATTCCAGAAACATTCAGTCACATAACCTAATTTATATTCCCGAATAATGCCTTTTCCATTTGCTAGCTTCCTAGCAACTAATTAGTAATAAATCCCATTTCAGCAAATCACTTAAGCTGGGTTTAAGTGTAGGGGTTTCCAGTCCTGTTCCTGGATGGACACTTTCCAGCAGATTTTGGCCCCAGCCTCACATTAACTCTCCTGAACCAGCTAATCAAGGTCTTCAGAAACTCATTTTAGAGCTATAAACTGCTGGAATGAGCATGCCACTTCATTAATATTCATGAGCCCAGCCCTCATTACAGTAGCAGGTGTAAATTCACCTCTGGGTGCTGTCTGATTGACAGCTCGGCATGAACAACTTGGATCCATCTAAGACTTAATGACAGAACTACTTTGCGTTGAAGGGTACATGCGTTAATTACTTGACAAGATCTCGAAAATCTCACCAAAACAATATGTCACTTTATATGCAATAATCTCAATTTCTCTGGCAGGCTGGAGTCTGTCCGACTTGAATACAGAGCAGGATTGAAAAACATCTCCAACACGCTCATGGCCAAAGCCCTTCAGGAGTGTCCTAACTCTGGTAAGCCACGCTTTCTTCAACTCTGAACAGATCCCTCAGAAGCCTCTGCACATTTTCACACCTCAACACTTGCTTCTTCCTGTCAGGCATCCTGTGGGCTGAAGCTGTGTTCTTGGAGGCCAGACCTCAGCGCAAGACCAAGAGTGTTGACGCTCTGAAGAAGTGTGAACATGATCCTCATGTACTTCTGGCAGTTGCCAAGTAAGTCTCCTGACCGGGCTTTTGCCAAACTTCTCCCTGTTCTAAATTCCAGTTTACCCACCCACATTCCTCCCTTTTTTTTTGCTTGTTGGACAAGAACAGTGAACTTTTTAGTTACATTTATACCATATCTGTGTTTGTGTATCCTGCAGATTGTTTTGGAGCGAGAGGAAGGTAACAAAGGCGCGCGAGTGGTTTCTGCGGACGGTAAAGATTGAACCAGACTTGGGCGATGCCTGGGCGTTCTTCTACAAGTTTGAGCTTCAGCACGGCACAGAAGTAAGAAGTTTTATGTCTTCTCAGATCTTGCTGCTGTTATGCAATAATAAGTTAACTAGTTTAGGCACAGACACTTGGAATGAAATTCTTAATCCAAAAATGTAAATTCTGTCGTTTATTCATCATGTCATTTCACTGATTCCTTCCGTGAAAGACAAAAAGAGATATTTTGAAGGATATACTGCTTGCTGTTTTCCATCCTCGGTGAATCTCGTCTTACTCTGGTGTTCTTCTGTCCCTCAGGAGCAACAGCGGGAGGTGAAGAAGCGCTGTGAGAACGCAGAGCCGCGGCACGGTGAGCTGTGGTGCGCTGAATCCAAACACGTTCTCAACTGGCAGAAGAACATCGGAGAGATCCTGGTACTCGTGGCTTCAAAGATCAAAAACACCTTCTGAGATTCACAAATCTGAGCATGTTTGGTTTAGCAAATATGTTGTTTTTAGAGAATCTGTGGACAAGGTTTGGTTTGTTTTTTTCTACAGCCATTTTTTAATGTGTTTGCCCCTCTGTAACTGTGATGATTCAGGGCTGTTTTCATAACACATGCTGTTATGTTCCGGGTGTTGTAAAGTCTAGTCACACCCAGAGATATGAGTCCATTTTGAACATTAATATCTGACACCCTCTTACTCTACTTCTCATTATGCTAATGTGTAAATGTGCTGCTTATCAGGAAAATAAATGAAGTCCAGTCTGTTTCAGATGTCAGTGCTCCTGTGCTGGTGATTTTTGTATTTCTTCGTCATCCTAGTTTTATGTTGGCTTGATAAATCCAGCATTCTATAATTTTGCTAATTTACATTGGTGTGAAAAAGTCTTGGCCCCTTCCTGATTTTTTAATCTTATCTCTAACCTCTATCTCTAACAGTTTCTTTTAAAGCAGTTAAGATACATCCACCAGTCATTCAGCATCTTCTGAATGTAATTTTTCTATCTGATTGCACGTTTTGTTACATCACTTGCTCACCAGTGGATCCTCTGCAGTGAATGGGTGCCGTCAGAATGAGAGTCCAAACAGCTGATTTAAAAACATCACAATAATCCACACCACTCCAGTCCATCAGTTAATGTCTTGTGAAGTCAAAAGCAGCATTTGTAAGAAACAAATTCATCATTAGGGCATTTTGTCTTCAAACCATCGCATCTGGTCAAAATAAGAGTCGTCTATCCATATAATTGAATACTCCAGTAAAACGTCATCTGGTCTGAATCGGGAAAGACAGATCGAGTGAAAACTTGTTCTAAACAAATACATTGGTGGATTAATGGATGTTGTCACTGGAGGAATTGGGTTATTATAGATGTGTATTTTGGCTAAAAAACACTTGGTTAAAAAATGTCTTAATGGTGTATTTGTGTCTTACAAACATGCAGCTTTTCACTTCACAGGATGTTAACTGATGGACTAGAATGGTGTGGATTATTGTGGTGTTTTTCACAGCTGTTTGGACTCTCATTCTGACGGCACCCATTCACTGCTGAGCATCCACTGGTGAGCAGCTGATGCAATGCTACATTTCTCCAAATCTGTTCCAACGAAGAAACAAACTGATGTGAAATTTTAGATATCTACTAATGAGCTGATGATATACTACGTGTAAGGTTCAGAAAAAGGAGATTAAAGGTGGACCTGCTGTAGAGGACCCCTACTTTAGAGGGCCTGGGATGACCCTGACTAAACTTTAAGCTTACATAAATCATTACACAATATATATTTTTTTTTCTGCCTATAAGCACTGGAATTCCCTTGCAGGAAATCAAATGAAGTGTGAAGCATATGCTGGATGTAGTGATTTTATCAGCTGGACACAAACCACACGGCCACATTGAACTACTCTGCGCGTTGAAACCTGACACAAATGTCTGGACACAATAAAAGATTAAAGATTAAGCCGTGTCCGGTGAAGCCTCAGAGCCTTGACTTAAGCAGCAGGTTTATAAAGTGATCTCCAGCCGAAACCGAAACAAAGCGCAAAGTTGATTGCTCGCGGAAGTTTTCTCGACTTGATCAGACTCGAGATCTGGTGAAACCCAAAGCGCGATGCGCGCAGCCCATGACGGCTGAGACGCATTTCTCTCGCCAGTGCTGGAATGGACGCGCCTCTCGCCGGAGCACCAGCTCAAACTAGACCTAAAGCGCGTATTTAAGGTTGTTGGCTTATTTTGTCTCGCTCGGACCGTTGTTGAAGTTTTCTGTGAGAAACATGTAAGAGGCGTTGGACGCCGCTGGACCATGTCCACCTTTCCAAGCCTTGCCTGCTGCGCGCCAGAGTCCCTCATCATCCCATGCTCAATGGTAAGCTCCCACTGCGCCACTGCGCACTACACTGCTTCTGTTCTGGGTCTCAGTCGGCAGATACACTGCTTAATGGCATTACAAACAGAGGAAAGTGTACTTATCAAACTGTAAATGAACCAGGCTAAGTCCAGAAATGTTACCAGATAAGCGAACACGTGCGTTTTTGTAGCTGAGCGACACAAACTGCATGATTTTATTCAAATATATATAAATATATTGTACTTTTATGCATGCTTATGTAAGTATAGAAGTATGTGTTTTACTCTTCCATTAGCCGATATAAATGGAAAACCTCAAAAAAGCATAAACTGGTCCAGTAGCTCAATACGACCAAATGAACACAATATTTGTCAGGCAATAGTTTAGTTATGATAATATGTGCGTGTTTTTTTTTTTGCTTTTACTTTGTTTGGTTTATCGCCTCAATAATGCTATTATTATATTAGGCTGTCTATAATATTAACTATACAATCTATTATTATATTTAGTCCGTTTGCTCAAAAAAGCATAAACTGGTCCAGTAGCTCAATACGACCAAATGAACACAATATTTGTCAGGCAATAGTTTAGTTATGATAATATGTGCGTGTTTTTTTTGTTTGTTTGGTTTTTTTTTTGCTTTTACTTTGTTTGGTTTATCGCCTCAATAATGCTATTATTATATTAGGCTGTCTATAATATTAACTATACAATCTATTATTATATTTAGTCCGTTTTTGATTCAGAATGGGACTCAGCCTTTTCACAAATGAGTCGTGTTTAATATGCTGTGATCAGAATAATAAAATAATAAGGCTTTAAATGTGGTAGTTATTTATTTATTATGTAGGCCTATCAGAATTATAATAGATGATATGAGATTATATAATATAATAATGCAACAGTAATAGAGGCTGTATAATTTATTGTATTGTAGTTGTAGGCCTATGTGTGTGTAATGACATGTTTTATCCTGTCATGTGACTTTATAGCAGCCATATAGCAAATGCACTTTGATTTGTAGTTGACAAGTCTGTATAAAATACTCAAAAACTCTACATCTATTATATATATAATAGATGTAGAGTTTTTGAGTATGGCACTTAGAGGCTTTTGCATCTGAACTCTTCATATATGAAGAGTTCAGATGCAAAAGCCTCTAAGTGCCGTCTGAAATATTCTTCTAAAAATCGTATTTTTATCAGGCTCCTATTTTTATGTTTAGTTATTTCACTTTAATTGCATAGAAAAGGACCTATGCATTGCTATTAGAGTAAAATTACTTCACCTAAACATAAGTCTAATAAAAATGCTCATTTTAGAAGAATGGCACTTAGAGGCTTTTGCTTCTGAACTCTTCATATATATATATTCCTACTGTCCTCAATTGTAAGTTGCTTTGTGTCTATATACTTATATAAGGATGAGATGTAGAAATGTTGAATGCAAATGTTCAGTGCCGTGTTGAAGCTGCAGATGCATGTGTTGTGTGCAGTGTGTGAACAGGCCTGCTGTGTGTGTGACTGTAATGCTGCTGCTCGCGGCGGCCCACAGTAAACGCTCCTGTGATTATTCTGCCATCATCAGCACCTACAGGGCTCTCATCCTGGTTGAGCTCCAAAACCTGGTGAGTGTCGTATCTCATAACCCCTTCAAACAGACTATGTAGTCAGCTTCTAGTAAATCTGACTTGCTGTCTGATTGCCTAACACAAGCATTTCAAGTGTGAAGTAAGCAGGGCGGCGTGAGATTGTGTGTATATGGTCGCTTGCCTCCCTCTTCTGGTGATGTGCAGAAGATGTACTGGATGAGTGTTTTGTTTCTCTCTCGGCCCAGAATCTGACTGGTACATTTGACTTCTCAAACGAAAAGGACCACTGTCCGTCTGAGAAGGTACAGCCACCTGTACATGGCTACATGTATGTTTCCTTAACACAGCGTTTGGTCTTTAATGTTTTCAGAGACCGTTGCCACCGAGCTGTTCTCTGTGTGGTGGTGTCTTGATAACAGATACAGTGTGTTTTGCTTGTAGGTTCACCGTATCCTGCGATATATCTATAATATGACCCAAATCTTCAGCTGCTTGAGTGAACGGCAGAGACACCAGCATGCAGATCGCATGACAAAGGTGGTGGAACAAATGCAGCTGCTCATCACACGAAACTGCCGCAAACCAGAGAGACTGGTAACATATTTATCTGTCTGTTTGTGTGTTTGTTTGTTGACGGAATAATCAAAACAAAGTTGATCTTAATAATTATAAACGGAAATGGATAGGATAAAATGATCTAGAACTTTGTTTGTTTGTTTGTCTGTCTAAATAAAGTTATTTTGAATAACTATATTTATTATTAACTGTATTTATTTATTTATATCTGTATAATTATAATCTGAAACAAACTGAGGATGCATTTATTTATTTATTTGTTGATTGAACAATCAAAAGTGTATTTAGTTTTTGTTTGTTCGCTTGTTTGTTTGTTTGTTGATTGAATAATCAAAATAAAGCGTATAATTACAAAATAAAGATTATAAGCTGAAATAAACAGAGGATTACATGATCTTGGAATGGATTTATTTGTTGCCTTGTTTATTAAATAATCAAAATAAACTTATACTAAATAATTATAATCTCAAATCAAATTAGGATAGCATGATCCATAAATGTATTTGTTTATTTATTTGTGAGGGAATTGTCAAAATCTATTTATGTTCATTTATTGAATAATCGAAATAAAGCGATCTGAGTAATATCGGAATAAGATCTGAATAATTATAATCTGATGTAAACCGAGGGTAAAAATATCTAGAAATGTATGTATTTAATCAAATTTTTTAGGAATTTCAATAAAAAGATTTTTGTTTGTTTGTTTGTTTGTTGATTAAATAATGAAAATGAACTAGTGCTGTCAAACGATTAATCGCATCCAAAATAAACATTTTTGTTTACATAATATGTGTGTGCGCGCTGTGTTTATTTATTATGTTTATATAAATACACAAACATGCATGTATATGTTTAAGAAATATGCATATGCATGTTTATACATGCATATACATGCATGTATATGTTTAAGAAAAATATGTTATGTTTATATATTAAATATATTTTTTTTGCTTTTACTTTGTTTGGTTTATCGCCTCAATAATGCTATTATTATATTAGGCTGTCTATAATATTAACTATACAATCTATTATTATATTTAGTCCGTTTGTGATTCAGAATGGGACTCAGCCTTTTCACAAATGAGTCGTGTTTAATATGCTGTGATCAGAATAATAAAATAATAAGGCTTTAAATGTGGTAGTTATTTATTTATTATGTAGGCCTATCAGAATTATAATAGATGATATGAGATTATATAATATAATAATGCAACAGTAATAGAGGCTGTATAATTTATTGTATTGTAGTTGTAGGCCTATGTGTGTGTAATGACATGTTTTATCCTGTCATGTGACTTTATAGCAGCCATATAGCAAATGCACTTTGATTTGTAGTTGACA